ACCCATTATGTGGCCCAGTCCCTGGACCCATTATGTGGCCCAGTCCGTGGACCCATTATGTGGACCAGTCCCTGGACCCATTATGTGGCCCAGTCCCTGGACCCATTATGTGGCCCAGTCCCTGGACCCATTATGTGGACCATCTTTGGACCCATTATGTGGACCATCCCGGGAAACCCATTATGTGGACCAGTCCCTAGACCCATTATGTGGACCAGTCCCTGGACCCATTATGTGGACCAGTCCCTGGACCCATTATGTGGACCAGTCCCTAGACCCATTATGTGGACCAGTCCCTGGACCCATTATGTGAACCAGTCCCGGACCCATTATGTGGACCAGTCCCTGGACCCATTATGTGGCCCAGTTCCCTGGACCCATTATGGGGAAACCAGTCCCTGGACCCATTATGGGGACCAGTCCCTGGACCCATTATGTGGCCCAGTTCCTGGACCCATTATGTGGACCAGTCCCTGGACCCATTATGTGGACCAGTCCCTTGGACCCATTATGTGGACCAGTCCCTGGACCCATTATGTGGACCAGTCCCTGGACCCATTATGTGGACCAGTCCCTGGACCCATTATGTGGACCAGTCCCTGGACCCATTATGTGGACCAGTCCCTGGACCCATTATGTGGACCAGTCCCTGGACCCATTATGGGGCCCAGTCCTGGACCCATTATGTGGACCAGTCCCTGGACCCATTATGTGGACCAGTCCCTGGACCCATTATGTGGACCAGTCCCTGGACCCATTATGTACCTCTGTAATCTACTGACTACCATCCACAGCATGAAAATAAGTCACTTTGTCTGACTTTTTTGGGTTATGTCACTCTGGCTTTTTGGGGTTATGTCATTTTGACTTTTTTGGGTTATGTCATTCTGACTTTTTTGTGTTATCCCAGGTTCTCTACACATATGCTGCTATGTATGATAATCAATGTAACTGTACTTGTGTATACCTGAATAAACTTACTTTCTTACTTAGGTGCATAATAAAGTTATTGAACTAACTGGTATTGTTTTAACCAGACTGAAAAACATATGAGTAAAATGAGGTTAGGTTCTCGAGACCTCCAAAAATTAGCCAAAAGTTTTTAAACGATTATTATGTAACATCTGTCACAGTTCTTTATAATAATAATAATAATAATAATAATAATAATGTAACATCTGTCACAGCTGTTGATTATAAGAATAATGTAACATCCAAAAAATAGCCAAAAGTTTTTAAATGATAATTTCATTTTGAGTAATAATACAAAAATATGCAGTGATGTAATATGAAAGCCTAGTTAGTGGCGCAGTACCTGTTGGTCTTAAAGTGTGTAGAGAGAGTTGGCTATAGTTGTGGCAGGACTGTGGTCCTTGTGTTGGTACAAGGCTGTCCTTATAATGGTAATCTTTATTTCTACTAGTACATGTACAAGGTATACAAGTACATGTACAAGGTATACAGACCATAGCTGACATCATTGACATACTACTGTATAGAAAGTACCTAGTTATGTTGAGCATTTCCTCCAAATTATGTCAGTTTTGTCCCCAGGATGGTGACCCACACCAGTCAGCTAACACCCAGGTACCTATTTTACTGCTAGGTGAACATGGACAGCAGGTGTCTTAAGGAAACATGTCCTAATGTTTCCGCCCGTACCGGGGATCACACTACAGACCTCAGTGTGGGAAATGAGGGCGCTACCAATTGAGTTATGGGACTCTGTTTTATGGTATGACAGCGACTTATCCCATATAGGGGGACATCTTTGTTTGCTCAACCAATGGATTTATTAAATTTTCTGTTTTATTCACCCATACGGACTTCGTTGTCATTCATTTTAGGCGGTCGCAACGTGGATTACTCATTGCAGAAGCTCGATCTCATTTTCTAATTGTACAAATTGTTGCTTCATCTAGACTTAGAGGACAGGTCATCTGCACCACATACGTGCAACCTTTAACCATATCTAAGATCTCAATATTTTGCTTATAATTTTGCATTTATTCTTCTTGGCACTTCAAGCACCACTAGTATCCATCTTGGGTGCCACTTTTAATATCCAGGGACAAGATTGGCTAATAAAAAAGGTAGTAAATCAAATTCGGTGATATACAATTAAGAATTAAGTTTATTTAGGTACAGGTACACATAAAGGCACTTACCCTACATACACAAATAACCTGCACCTAAGAGAAGGTCATGATAACTTTTCCATCTAACTTGGACCATTTACAAGTTATATTAACACATGAAGGTGAGGGAGCCAGCATATATAGAAGAGGGTGTTAGTTAATATCTTTATAGAGGGTGACAGGAATGGGACACATAGAGGAAGAAGGAAGTGGAGAAATTGTGGTTGAGGTAATGCTGGTAGTGTAAGTGGTAGTGGTAGAGGTAATGCTGGTATTGGAAGTGGTAGTGGTAGAGGTAATGCTGGTAGTGCAGGTAGTAGTGGTAGAGGTAAGCTGGAAACAAAAGGTAGTATGGTAGAGGTAATGCTGGTAGTTGCAAGTAGTAGTGTAGAGGTAATGTTGGTAGTGCAAGTATATGGTAGAGGTAATGTTGGTAGTGTAAGTAGTAGTGGTAGAGATAATGCTGGTAGTGTAAGTGGTAGTGGTAGAGGTAATGCTGGTAGTGCAAGTAGTAGTGGTAGAGGTAATGCTGGTAGTGCAGGTAGTAGTGGTAGAGGTAATGTTGGTAGTGCAGGAAATAGTGGTAGAGGGAATGTTGGTAGTGCAAGTAGTAGTGGTAGAGGTAATGTTGGTATGCAAAGTAGTAGTGGTAGAGGTAATGCTGGTAGTGCAAGTATAGTGGTAGAGGTAATGTTGGTAGTGCAGGTAGTAGTGGTAGAGGTAATGTTGGTAGTGCAGGTAGTTTGTGGTAGAGGTAATGTTGGTAGTGCAGGTAGTAGTGGTAGAGGTAATGCTGGGAGTGCAGGTAGTAGTGGTAGAAGGTAATGTTGGTAGTGAAAGGTAGTAGTGGTAGAGGTAATTTTTGGTAGTGCAGGTAGTAGTGGTAGAGTAATGTTGGAGTGCAGGTAGTAGTGGTAGAGTAATGTTGGTAGGGGCAGGTATTTAGGGGTAGAGGTAATGTTGGTAGTGCAAGTAGTAGTGGTAGAGGTAATGTTGGTAGTGCAGGTATAGTGGTAGAGGTAATGCTGGTAGTGCAAGTAGTAGTGGTAGAGGTAATGTTGGTAGTGAAAGGTAGTAGGGGGTAGAGGTAATGTTGGTAGAGCAGGTAGTAGTGGTAAGTAATGCTTGGTAGTGCAGTAGTAGTGGTATGAGGTTATAGAAGTTGGTAGTTGGCAAGTAGTAGTGGATAGAGGTCAAATGTTTGGTAGTGCAGGATAGTAGGGTTAGAGTACTGTTGTAGTGCAGTACAGTAGGTAGAGAAGGTAATGTTGGTAAGTGCATATATTGCTGGGTAGAGGTACATGTTGCAGTATTGTAGCAGGTAGTGAGTGTTCAGATGGTGACGTAATTGTTTGGGTAGTGCAGGTAGTAGTGGGTAAGGCGTAATACAGTTGGTAGGCAGGTAGTAATAGGTAGAGGTAATCGTTGGTAGTGCATGGTAGTAGTGGTAAGTAATGTTGAGTGCAGGTAGTAGTGTAGAGGTAATGTTGGTAGCAGTAGTATGGTAGAGGTAATGCTGGTATGCAAGTAGTATGGTAGAGTAATGTTGGTAGTGCAGGTAGTAGTGGTAGAGGTAATGTGGTAGTGCAGGTAGTAGGTAAGGTAATGTTGGTAGTGCAGGTAGTAGTGGTAGAGGTAATGTTGGTAGTGCAAGAGTAGTGTAGAGGTAATGTGGTAGCAAGTAGTAGTGGTAAGGTAATGTTGGTAGTGCAGTAGTAGTGGATAGAGGTAATGTTGGAGTGCAGTAATAGTGTAGAGGTAATGTTGGTAGTGCAAGTAGTAGTGGTAAGGTAATGTTGGTAGTGCAAGTAGAGTGGTAGAGTAAGTTGGTAGTGCAAGGTATATGGTTAGAGGTAATGTGGTAGTGCAGGTAGTAGTGGTAGAGGTAATGTTGGTAGTGCAGTAGTAGTGGTAGAGGTAATTGTTGGTAGTGCAGGTAGTAGTGGTAGAGTAATGTTGGTAGTGCAAGTAGTAGTGGTAGAGGTAATGTGGTAGTGCAAGTAGTAAGTGGTAGAGGTAATGTTGGTAGTGCAGGTAGTAGTGGTAGAGTAATGTTGGTAGTGCAGGTAGTAGTGGTAGAGGTAATGTTGGTAGTGCAGGTAGTGTGGTAGAGGTAATGTTGGTAGTGCAGGTAGTAGTGGTAGAGGTAATGTTGGTAGTGCAGGTAGTTAGTGGTAGAGGTATGCTGGTATTGCAAGTAGTAGTGGTAGAGGTAATGTTGGTAGTGCAGGTAGTAGTGGTAGAGGTAATGTTGGTAGTGCAGGTAGTAGTGGTAGAGGTAATGCTGGTAGTGCAAGTAGTAGTGGTAGAGGTAATGTTGGTAGTGCAGGTAGTAGTGGTAGAGGTAATGTTGGTAGTGCAGGTAGTAGTGGTAGAGGTAATGTTGGTAGTGCAGGTAGTAGTGGTAGAGGTAAGTAGGGGGAGTCAAAGTAACTTATTCCCATTGGGATCCTTGTAATCATTCCCAAGAGAGCTGGAGCTTAGGTGTTCTATATCAAGGGACAGTAGGCCTTTCTCAAACAACAATAACCTTACCTATGGTGTGTTCAGACAGGATTTGACATGCAGTGATAGCTGATGCTTAGTCTTCCCCAAATTTATGGTGTATAATTTGGACACGAATACAATTTTTAATAGTGTTTTATTTAAAACATGTCTGTACATGTTTTAATTGGAACTAATATAATTCACTAATAAAAGCAACAACAATAATATATAATTAATAACAGTAATGTAACTAAATATGAAAAGAAAAAACATTTTGTTTAGGTCACCCTACCTTGGTGGGAGGTGGCCGGTGCACTGAAATAATAATAATAATATCGATGTTTACGATAGTAACTTTTACTTATGATGTTACAGCTGAGTACACCCACATACAGCAGTGGGAGGTATGGCAGCAGCAGCAGCAGCAACACTGCTGGTGTACCCACAGTATCATATAGAGCAGCACTCACCAGGGACCTCTCAGCATCTCAGGAACGCCTGCCAACCGGATACTCCTCAGATGTCAACAAAACCGGCTATAGTTCTGGCACAGGTATTAATAATTGATATACTGTTAATGTCCATTTAATCTGCCCTCTTACAAATCAATGTGAGACATCATCATTGTACTTAGAAATGTCTCCTAATTCAAAGTTTCCAATACATTGCATGTGTGTCTTCATTATATTTTTTTTTATTAACACACCGGCCTATTCCCACCAAGGCAGGGTGGCTCGAAAAAGAAAAACTTTCACCATCATTCACTCCATCACTGTCTTGCCAGAAGGGTGCTTTACACTACAGTTTTTAAACTTCATTATACTGTACATTTATTGCTACATGTTACCTTCCATGAGTCAGAATAGTATCAGAATTGAAAATACAGTCAGCTCTTATAAAGCTCCTCTGTATAATGTAATTTTTCATAAATGTGATTGAAGCATGTATCAAAAATTGAATAACATAAAATAAAATACACACACACACACACACATATATATATATATATATATATATATATATAATATAATATATATATATATATAATATATATATATATAATATGTAGTAGTAGTTGGTAGACAGCAACTGTGGAAAATTTTTGATTTTCCAAAGCTGTGGCGCCTGGTAGGTGTTTGATGTGTTGATGTGAGTCAAAAATGTATTTGACAATAGGGTAGAACCAAGAGTTCCCTTTGCGCATGCGCGGATGTGCGGGGGTTTGGGGCGACTCGGGCCATTGGGGTGGCGGAAGTGTTTTGAATGTGGTGAGGAGGCTGGGAAAGCATGGAACCACGAAATTGGCATTCACGGCGGCCTAAGGATTAATATAGGCCTCATTTCATAATAGGAAGTGTCGTAACTGTTCCTGGTGAAGAGTGAGGGAACGTGATTTACGGGACCACCGTAAAATTATTATTATTATAATCAAAAAGAAGCGCTAAGCCACAAGGACTATACAGCACCACCGTAAAAGGGTGGTAAAATTAGTGAATAATGGTTTGACGGGGTGTGACTGGTGCACGGCCATGGTGTGTGTCCAGGGGAAATACCAGTGTGTTAATCCTCGCTCATCGGCCTCAGATCTTAATGGAGTGACCTCTAATGTGTATAATAATTATGAGATGTTAAATCGTCTTGTGAATGGTAATGTAATCAGTGATAATAACATTGAGTTAAGAGAATGCGGGATGTGAAATAGATCGCCCTGCTCCGAGTGAATGTGTGATTCTCGTACCGAGGATAGGGAAGCTTTATGGAAGCACGACTTCTAAACCGGGACAAACCGATGGGTACCTCGTCCTGCTGGAATGAGAACCGTGTCGGTGTAGCAGAACATCGAAATGAGATGGTGAATGGAGGAAATAAGGAGTATCAATCACCCACAGTTAAGTAACCCTTCTAGTTATAGCAGACTGATACTGGCCAGTTAGGTATGTTGTAATTGGATAGGTTATGAGTGATCCAGCTACATCAAGTGACCACCAGAGAATATCTGGTAAGTGGAGAGATTATGTACAAGTGGTTTTCCTTGATGGATATATCCATGTGTAACCTACCCCCCCCCCCTTCATTCAGTTACACTAATATAATCTATACAGTCCACAATTAATTAGTAGCACCGTACTTGTGGGTGCTATCCAATCCATACTGGTCTTGGATAGATATGGATAAGATTGTGAGGTCGAAGGGACCACCTGCCGTGACCAGGGGTGGTTAAGTTTTCTCACATGTCTACACGGGGTGACTACGGTAAACAATATGGTTGTCTCCCAATGAGATTACTGGTATGTATATAATGTTGAGGTACATACAGGTAAGCACCCTATAAAATTTTCCATAGCAACCATCCAGGGAGGTACTACCATCCTGTGGTAGTAGGTTGGTAGACAACAACCATCCAGGGAGGTACTACCATCCTGTGGCAGTAGGTTGGTAGACAGCAACCATCCATGGAGGTACTACCATCCTGTGGTAGTAGGTTGGTAGACAGCAAAACCCTCCAGGGGGGTACTACCATCCTGTGGTAGTAGGTTGGTAGACAACAACCACCCAGGGAGGTACTACCATCCTGTGGTAGTAGGTTGGTAGACAGCAACCATCCAGGGAGGTACTACCATCCTGTGGTAGTAGGTTGGTAGACAACAACCACCCAGGGAGGTACTACCATCCTGTGGTAGTAGGTTGGTAGACAACAACCACCCAGGGAGGTACTACCATCCTGTGGTAGTAGGGTTGGTAGACAACAACCCACCCAGGGAGGTACTACCATCCTGTGGTAGTAGGTTGGTAGACAACAACCACCCAGGGAGGTACTACGAGTGTACAACGAAAACCTGTAATTGTTTTACATGATGGTAGGATTGTTGGTGTCCTTTTTTCTGTCTCATAAACAGGGGGGATTACCAACAGACCCCTGGCAGTCTTCAAGCTGGCACTGGACAAGCACCTAAAGTCGGTTCCTGACCAGCCGGGCTGTGGCTCGTACGTTGGTTTGCGTGCAGCCAGCAGTAACAGCCTGGTTGATCAGGCTCTGATCCACCAGGAGGCCTGGTCACAGACTGGGCTGTGGGGGCGTTGACCCCCGGAACTCTCTCCAGGTAAACTCTACTTACACTTAGGTCACTCTACACATACATGTACCAGCATATATATACACACCCCTCTGGGTTTTCTTCTATTTTCTTTCTAGTTCTTGTTCTTCTTTATTTCCTCTTATCTCCATGGAGAAGTGGAAAAGAATTCTTCCTCCATAAGCCATGCATGTTGTAAGAGGCGACTAAAATGCCGGGAGCAAGGGGCTAGTAACCTCTTCTCCTGTATATATTACTAAATGTAAAGGGAGAAACTTTCATTTTTCCTTTCGGGCCACCCCGCCTCGGTGGGATACGGCTGGTGTGTTGAGAGAGAAAGATATATATAGCATGATTGTTCATAGAGTTTTTTATATGTGTACAACTTTGTGTTTGTTTACAGGAGGTGGGAGCTACAGGTCTGGCTACACTGCCGACACCACTGCTTCCAAGGGGTCATCATCACCGTCGGCAGTGGGGACACTCTCTTCTAAGTTTGATGAGTCGAAGCCTTCCTCCCCCAGTACCAGGATAAGGCCAACTTCCTTGGCTACGACCACCAGCAACAATTCCTCAAGCACCACCAACACTGCAGCAGCAGCTCCATCCTCCAGCATCTACAACAACAACCTCTCTACCCCCACCAGTCTTCCTCCCAGTAGGCTCTCCCGAGACTCTTCCCGCTCAGAAAGTGGTGGGAGGTCACCTGGAGGCACAGCTTACACTTCTCGACTGACAAGCAGTACGAACTTCGATCGATCGGGCTACAATTCGGATGCTAAGTCGGGCTATGGCTCCGAACTCAACAGGTCCGGGTATGGGTCTGGATATGGCTCTGGGTCTGGCAACTATACGAGTCGATATAGTTATAGCCGTAGCAACAGCTATATGAAGGACACCGAACCCAACAGTACCACAGGAAACTATAGACCAACATATAGCAGAGAAAACAGCTTTTTGGGCAGTGATACAGGAAGTGGATCTGGTTGGCGCAGTCGTGTTTATGGTAATTCCGCTGAAACCACCACATCCACCAGGGCTAGGACACGTGACCTCAACAATTTGTCAGAGAATGTCCCAGTTTCCAGTTTGAGCCATGATATTAACACTTCTAAGGAGGTTGAGACAGCTAAACCAGTATGCAAAGATACTATCAATAAGCTGACCAAAGATGAGGGTAAGAGCGCAGAACCTCCATCTCCAAATGCTGTGAGAGTTTTTCCTGTCCTCACTCCCAATGACAACTTGAAGAACAAAGCTCCAGCAGATTTCAGCTCTGCGGCTGAAAGCTCTGATGAAGAAGACCAAAAGGTTAATGATAGACTTGATACAGATAAGACAAAAGATTCCACAACTACTTATTCTAAATCGACTACCACCTCTACCTTAACTACCACCTCTTCTCCCAGCACAACTTCCAGAGCCTTCAGGCATTTAGCAGCTGTGCCAGCCTTACCCAGCAAGCCAACAACATCAGTGACCAGTGGTCTAGCTGCACCACCACCCTTCAAGCTATCAACAAGATTTTCCACATCCACAACAGACAGTTTACCTGCCTCTTCCACTACTTCTAAATGGCTGAGAGACAAGGAAGAAGCCCCAGTAACAACAGCAGTCACCAGAGTCACTACCACAGCAACCACAACAGTCACCTCAGCCACTACCACAGCAACCACAACAGTCACCTCAGCCACTACCACAGCAACCACATGCTCTCGAGGCAACTTAAGTGTGGGTGATGGCAGTCTCAAATCCACTTCGCCACTCCCGCCCCGTTCCCCCGTCCTTGGTGCTAACAAGACTTCTGCTGCCTTGCCAGCTTCTGAAAGGAAAGGTGATTTGGGTATAGCTAACAAAGACTGTAGGAAATCTGTCTTGAATATGGACATCAAGCCAAATGATACAGATGTCATGAGGAGACAGCAAGAGGAGAAGAGGGAGGAATTGAGAAGATTAAGAAGACAAAGAGGAAATGAAGATGATAGTAAAAGCAGTCACAGGCCTCCAACTGGAAGTATTAGAACCAGACCAGGTCCTAAAGTGGAAGAAGTTGGTCGACAGCGATCACGAGGGTCTGGATCGGACCTCTCTAAAACATCATCACAGACCAAAGTTGTGGAGGAGGACGAATCGAGTAGTGATGAGGAAGACAAACGTGATGACAAGGTTCCATTGGAAAAGACATTGTCCAAAACAAAGGTGGTGGAGAGGAGACATTCCAAGGGAATGGTGGATGCCATGAGGCGTAGTGGATCTATGCGTCACTTTCGCCAGTCTCCCCAGGCCAGCAAGACATCCACATCAAACTCATCTTCCTCAGACAGTGAGGAAGAAGTTCCTGTTGTTACTGTTGTTCTTAAGTGTAGAAGGCGGCAGACCACCAGGGATGAGGCTCTTGGGTCATCGGGAGAGAACCAGAGCCGTCCTTCGTCCCGCACTTCACCACGGGTGATTAAGAGGGGTTCCTCAGACAATGTGTTGGAGAGTAATCGCTCCTGCAACAATTCTTCATCCAATTTAGTTGGCCGCAGGTCACGGAACAGCTCACAGGCTACAGTGGAGTCTACCTCACGCAACAGCTCTTCTTCGAACCTGGCTAAATCCCTCTCAGGAAACAACTCCCGTTCTGGTATGGGGGAGATAGAAAAATCCAGGAGCAGCTCTAGGTCCAGCATTCTAGGAGAAAAGAAATTATCACTTGGACCTGACATAGACATTGGTGAGAGCAGTAGGAGTGGCTCCTCCAGTAAAATTGGTGTTAAGAAAACTTTGAGCAACCACAGTTCCAGTAATCTTTCAAAAACAAAATCTAGTGACAAATTTAGAACATCTAGTAGCAGCATAAAACAATTTAAAGACAAGAATGCAGGTGATCGGTCCATCTCTAGTGACTCTGAGTCCTCCAGCACTTCAGATGACTCCAGTGAAAGTGCAGGTGAGGAAGGTCATTTCTTCTCCCTCACTAAGTCCCGGTCCATGAAGAAATCTAGATCCTCACTCAGCAAGTTCCCTGTTAACCTCAGTGAAGAGAAACCAAAGCTGGAGGAACTGGGAACTAGAACTAGTCCAGATGGTAAGGAGCATGTCTCCAGAACTAACTCAGACACGAATTTGCAGGTGACATCACCATGTGATAATGTAGACGAGGATGGTGATGAAGAATTGAAGCCATTCTCCTGGCCGGTTGACAGTTCTGCCTCAAAAACAGACCTCACAGAACTGTACAAGAAATGTGACAAGTTGGCAGCATCCAATAAATCAGTTTCTGAGTTGGGTACTTTTGAGTGGCCCAGCGAGAGCCCACCACTCTCTAGAGCACCTCGCTACCAGAACATCGAAAATGATACTCCTACACAGACAGGTGCCAGTAGGAGCAGCTCCAAGGGAAATATTGAAAAGAGTAGCTCCCTTGAGCCATTTGAATGGCAGTCAGGAAGTCCAGAACTTCCAAGGAAGAAGCTGGATGATACTGCAGACTCAGCCAGTGAGCTAGCTACATTTGAGTGGCCGTCTGGTAGTCCTGTCTTGCACATTAATAAAAAGGTTGAACAGGAGGAGCAAGATACTTTCACTTGGCCTTCTGGGAGTCCAGAATTGTACATTAGTAAGAAGGATAAACCAAGGTGAGCAAAATACACAGGAAGAAAAAAATGGCTTCATATGGCCAGAGAACAGCCCAGAGCTCCCCAGGAAAACAGTTTACCACAATGCCTACGAAAGCGAGACAGAGACAGAGTTGGCATGGTCAGACGAAAATGGCGATGCCTCCAAGTCTCACATGCCACAAGTGGCTGAAGAGACAGAGGAGGAGTACAACTTCGAGTGGCCCAGCAGTCCGGAGTTGTCTCGCAAGAAGCCATCAGCATATGGATATTCTGACCCCTATGACACTCAAGTTGAAACAGAGGGATTTGAATGGCCCAGCAGTCCAGAGATGCCTAGAATGAAAAACCCCAACTTCATCAGCTTCACAGAAGATATTGACAACCTCTTGAGTAATGGCATGGAGGATAACTTTGACAAGATGGAGGAGGTGATGGGTTACTCTCCTCCTCCAGAAGAGGAGGCAAAGGTAAACAGTGAGTCAAGTATCCAGGATGGTAAAGTCGAAGAGGAGGAGAAAATGGAAGACGAAAATGAAGAGAATGCCGAAGAAAAGAAGAAATCCCTAAGAGAACGAGCAAGACGAAATCTGTCTCTGTTCATTGGTATGTAGTACTATGTGGTTGTCACGTTTCTTTCTCTCCTTCTCTGAGTACTTCATTCAAGGGAATGGAGGGATGCATTGATGCTGACAAGGGGATCTTGATCTAAAGAATTTTAACTACTTTTCCCTTCCTTGAATTTAACCTCCCATTCCCCAGTCACTGTATGATCCATATGGGTTTAAAGAATAAAAGAATGAAGAATAAAAATTTTCATTTCTTTGCAAAGGTTACAATGTGTAATTACAATTTTGATTTGTTAAGTACAAAGAAAGCCACTTTGATGGTGGGGCATTTAGTGCTTCCCTGTTATTTTTTCAACAAACCCACCAAGAGAAAAACAAAAGTTTTTCTTTTTAAATTTAGTAATTTATCCAGGAGAAAGTTACTAGCTCCCCATATGAATATGACAACAGTAATTATGACACCAATTATAATCGTATCTTATCAGAACTATGAAAATAATCACACAGTATCAACTCGTTTAAAAAAAATTATAACTTATGAAACAGACCATGGAACAGGTGGAATTTGAACCCATGGAGAATGACTGGTAAAACTCCAGGCCAGTGTGTAAGCCACTGGGCAACTGGCTACAATAAGATTCATCCAACTAGGTACAGTAGACCCCTGGTTTACGATCAGCTCCCAATGCGACCAGTTATGTAAGTGTATTTATGTAAGTGCGTTTGTACGTGTATGTTTGGGGGTCTGAAATGGACTAATCTAATTCACAATATTCCTTATGGGAACAAATTCGGTCAGTACTGGCACCTGAACATACTTCTGGAATGAAATAATATCGTAAACCGGGGGTCCACTGTATATTTCTATGGTTTGTTTGCAGTGGTGTTATTACCATTTTTTGAGTATAACTTATGAAGCAAGAGCCGTCCCCAGCTGACAACAAATTACACTCTATGTTTCAACATAAACCCAATATTCTTTTGAGAATAATAATAGAGGGGATAATTATGTATAACATTTGTGTAACACCTGATCAGCATATATAAAACTTATTATTTTACAGTATTGAGACTTGAACGTTATTTGTAAATGTAACTCATCGTAACTCAGGTGTTTGTTAATGTAACTCATCGTAACTCAGGTGTTTGTTAATGTAACTCATCGTAACTCAGGTGTTTGTTAATGTAGCTCATCTTAACTCAGGTGTTTGTTAATGTAACTCATCTTCACTCAGGTGTTTGTTAATGTAACTCATCTTCACTCAGGTGTTTGTTAATGTAACTCATCTTCACTCAGGTGTTTGTTAATGTAACTCATCTTAACTCAGGTGTTTGTTAATGTAACTCATCTTAACTCAGGTGTTTGTTAATGTAACTCATCTTCACTCAGGTGTTTGTTAATGTAACTCATCTTAACTCAGGTGTTTGTTAATGTAACTCATCTTCACTCAGGTGTTTGTTAATGTAACTCATCTTAACTCAGGTGTTTGTTAATGTAACTCATCTTAACTCAGGTGTTTGTTAATGTAATTCATCTTCACTCAGGTGTTTGTTAATGTAACTCATCTTAACTCAGGTGTTTGTTAATGTAACTCATCTTAACTCAGGTGTTTGTTAATGTAACTCATCTTAACTTAGGTGTTTGTTAATGTAACTCATCTTAACTCAGGTGTTTGTTAATGTAACTAATCTTAACTCAGGTGTTTGTTAATGTAACTCATCTTAACTCAGGTGTTTGTTAATGTAACTCATCTTCACTCAGGTGTTTGTTAATGTAACTCATCTTAACTCAGGTGTTTGTTAATGTAGCTAATCTTCACTCAGGTGTTTGTTTATGTAACTCATCTTAACTCAGGTGTTTGTTAATGTAACTCATCTTCACTCAGGTGTTTGTTAATGTAACTCATCTTCACTCAGGTGTTTGTTAATGTAACTCATCTTCACTCAGGTGTTTGTTAATGTAACTCATCTTCACTCAGGTGTTTGTTAATGTAACTCATCTTAACTCAGGTGTTTGTTTATGTAACTCATCTTAACTCAGGTGTTTGTTTATGTAACTCATCTTAACTCAGGTGTTTGTTAATGTAGCTCATCTTCACTCAGGTGTTTGTTTATGTAACTCATCTTAACTCAGGTGTTTGTTAATGTAACTCATCTTCACTCTGGCGTTTGTTTATGTAGCAGATCTTTACTCAGGTGTTTGTTAATGTAACTCATCTTCACTCAGGTGTTTGTTAATGTAACTCATCTTAACTCAGGTGTTTGTTAATGTAACTCATCTTCACTCAGGTGTTTGTTTATGTAACTCATCTTAACTCAGGTGTTTGTTAATGTAACTGATCTTCACTCAGGTGTTTGTTAATGTAGCTCATCTTCACTCAGGTGTTTGTTAATGTAACTCACCCTCACTCAGGTGTTTGTTAATGTAGCTCATCTTCACTCAGGTGTTCATTAATGTAACTCATCTTCACTCAGGTGTTTGTTTATGTAGCAGACCTTTACTCAGGTGTTCATTAATGTAACTCATCTTCACTCAGGTGTTTGTTTATGTAACTCATCTTCACTCAGGTGTTTGTTTATGTAATTCATCTTCACTCAGGTGTTTGTTTATGTAATTCATCTTCACTCAGGTGTTTGTTAATGTAACTCATCTTAACTCAGGTGTTTGTTAATGTAACTAATCTTAACTCAGGTGTTTGTTAATGTAACTCATCTTAACTCAGGTGTTTGTTAATGTAACTCATCTTCACTCAGGTGTTTGTTAATGTAACTCATCTTAACTCAGGTGTTTGTTAATGTAGCTAATCTTCACTCAGGTGTTTGTTTATGTAACTCATCTTAACTCAGGTGTTTGTTAATGTAACTCATCTTCACTCAGGTGTTTGTTAATGTAACTCATCTTCACTCAGGTGTTTGTTAATGTAACTCATCTTCACTCAGGTGTTTGTTAATGTAACTCATCTTCACTCAGGTGTTTGTTAATGTAACTCATCTTAACTCAGGTGTTTGTTTATGTAACTCATCTTAACTCAGGTGTTTGTTTATGTAACTCATCTTAACTCAGGTGTTTGTTAATGTAGCTCATCTTCACTCAGGTGTTTGTTTATGTAACTCATCTTAACTCAGGTGTTTGTTAATGTAACTCATCTTCACTCTGGCGTTTGTTTATGTAGCAGATCTTTACTCAGGTGTTTGTTAATGTAACTCATCTTCACTCAGGTGTTTGTTAATGTAACTCATCTTAACTCAGGTGTTTGTTAATGTAACTCATCTTCACTCAGGTGTTTGTTTATGTAACTCATCTTAACTCAGGTGTTTGTTAATGTAACTCATCTTCACTCAGGTGTTTGTTAATGTAGCTCATCTTCACTCAGGTGTTTGTTAATGTAACTCACCCTCACTCAGGTGTTTGTTAATGTAGCTCATCTTCACTCAGGTGTTCATTAATGTAACTCATCTTCACTCAGGTGTTTGTTTATGTAGCAGACCTTTACTCAGGTGTTCATTAATGTAACTCATCTTCACTCAGGTGTTTGTTTATGTAACTCATCTTCACTCAGGTGTTTGTTTATGTAATTCATCTTCACTCAGGTGTTTGTTTATGTAACTCATCTTCACTCAGGTGTTTGTTTATGTAACTCATCTTCACTCAGGTGTTTCTTGAAAATAGCTTTTGACTATTGTTGACATTTCCATGGCAGGTAAATTGACCAACATCGATGAGATTTTGGGAACAGTCCTACAGCCTCTCTCCTCTGCTGCCACTTCCATCGTCAACACCACACCAAAGTCCGAGGATGATGGTTCGTAAAGTTTATCCTAGATCATAGGCAGTGAAATTTGTCCCAGATGATAGGTTTATTTATTTAGTAATTTTAGCATACATACAGAGGTACAAAAAACTACAGGTAAGAGCAGCATGCCAAAGCCACTTATATGCATAGCATTACGGGCTGGCTTAAAATTAACTTAAGATTAACTAAGCAATGATGAAATCAGTGATAAAACATTATTGTAAACAGATAACTATAAAGCACAAATGAGTATTACAAAGACAGGTCATATGGTTGCTTGCATTGTTGTACATTCAGTAGAATGGAGTATTCTGGTAGGTAGTGTATTTAAAAAATAATAAAGTTAGATTGGGTTTTAGGTTTAACATTTATGTGATATAATTGTGAGAAACATTTAAGATATACAATTTATAAGGTTCAGTTATTCAGTATTTATTTGGTTTTGGGTGAGTAAGTGATCTTTGAGAAGAGACTTGAATTTATAAACAGGTAGTGTTTCTTTTATATTTACAGGTAATGAATCCAGATTTTAGGGCCTTTTATGTGCATTGAGTTTTTTGCATTGCGTGAGATGGACACGAGGAACATCAAAGAGTGATCTGTGCCTTGTGTTATGGTCATGTGTTCTGTTGAGGTTGGCAAGGAGATGTTTGAGGGGAGGGTTAATATCAGAGTTAAGTGTTCTATGTATGTAATAGGTGCAATATTAAGTATGGATGTTTTGTATGGTGAGTAGGTGGAGTGTTTTGAATATTGGTGGAGTGTGCTGCCTGTAGTGAGAATTTGTTATCATTCTAACTGCAGCCTTTTGTTGGGTAATTAGTGGTCTGAGATGGTTAATTGTTGTTGAGCCCCATGCACAAATTCCATAGGTGAGATAGGGGTAAATAAGAGAGTGATATAGGGCCAGGAGGGCTGACTGTGGAGCATAGTACCGTATCTTCGATAGTATGCCTACAGTCTTGGAAATTTTCTTAGAAATTTGTTGTATATGTGTATGAAATTTGAGTCTATTATCAAGGTGGATTCCTAAGAATTTTCCCTCTGTTAGTTTTGTGATAGGTGATCCATTTATCATTATGTTAAGAGGGGCATCTGTAGCTCTGTTACCAAACTGAATGAAATAGGTTTTGTCAATGTTTAGTGTAAGTTAGTTAGTCCTCATCCAGGTAGATATTTTCTGTAATTCGGTATTTACAGTATTGGCTAGCGTGACTGGGCTCGGGTGAGAGAAGACGTATGTAGTGTCATCTGCAAAAAGTGTGGGTTTGAGTAATTGCGAAGCATTTGGTAGGTCATTTATGTATAGGAGAAAGAGAAGAGGGCCAAGGACACTTCCCTGTGGGACACCAACTGTAATTGGTTGTGCGGAAGAGCTTGCCCCATTTGCGTACACATATTGGCTTCTGTTGCTGAGGTAAGACTTGAGGTAGTTGAGGGAGTGCCCTCTTATACCATAGTGTGACAATTTTACGTGGAGCAAGTCATGGTCAACTGTATCAAAAGCTTTACGTAAGTCAATGAAGATCCCCAGTGGGACTTCTTTTTTCTCTATTGCAGTGTATATATGTTCTAGCATGTGTATAGGTATTAGAATTTCTCCCAGATGATAGGTAGTAGAATTTGTCCTAGATGATAGGTAGTAGAATTTGTCCCAGATGATAGGTAGTAGAATTTGTCCCAGATGATAGGTAGCAGAATTTATCCCAGATGATAAATACAAACAATACTACAGTGGACCCCTGACTTACGATATTAATTCATTCCAGAAATCTGTTCAGGTGCCGTTACCGAACGAATTTGTTCCCATGAGGAATATTGTAAATTAGATTAGTCAGCTTCAGACCCCCAAAAATACACGTACAAAAGCACTTGCAAAAATACACTTACATAATTGTTCAAGTTCGGAGGTGATCGTAAGGCGGGGGTCCACTGTATTTCTTTGTGTAGTATAGAAAGTGTGATTTACATATAATAATATTGTTAGGCACAAAGAAAGCCACTAACATGCTGGGGTATTTCAGGCTGACTAATACTAATGATTAAAGACTACTTAAGATCTAGACATGGATTATTAAGTACAGTAGGTTCTTTCCCCCCAGTCGGCACGGGATATGCTCCAAGGACCTGCCGCAAATACTAAATCTGCGGATAGTAGCAAACCCTACATATAAATCTTATACATACCTATTTTTTTTTTTTTTCAACAAGTCGGCCGTCTCCCACCGAGGCAGGGTGACCCAGAAAAAGAAAGAAAATACCCAAAAAGAAAATACTTTCATCATCATTCAACACTTTCACCACACACATTATCACTGTTTTTGCAGAGGTGCTCAGAATATAACAGTTTAGAAGCATACACACATAAAGATACACAACATATCCCTCCAAACTGCCAATATCCCAAACCCCTCCTTTAAAGTGCAGGCATTGTACTTCCCATTTCCAGGACTCAAGTCCGACTATATGAAAATAACCGGTTTCCCTGAATCCCTTCACTAAATATTACCCTGCTCACACTCCAACAGATCGTCAGGTCCCAAGTACCATTCGTCTCCATTCACTCCTATCTAACACGCTCACGCACGCTTGCTAGAAGTCCAAGCCCCTTGCCCACAAAACCTCCTTTACCCCCTCTCTCCAACCCTTTCGAGGACGACCCCTACCCCCGCCTTCCTTCCCCTATAGATTTATATGCTTTCCATGTCATTCTACTTTGATCCATTTTCTCTAAATGACCAAACCACCTCAACAACCCCTCTTCTGCCCTCTGACTAATACTTTTATTAACTCCACACCTTTTCCTAATTTCCACACTCCGAATTTTCTGCATAATATTTACACCACACATTGCCCTTAAACAGGACATCTCCACTGCCTCCAACCATCTCCTCGCTGCTGCATTTACCACCCAAGCTTCACACCCATATAAGAGTGTTGGTACTACTATACTTTCATACATTCCCTTCTTTGCCTCCATAGATAACGTTTTTTGACTCCACAAATACCTCAACGCACCACTCACCTTTTTTTCCTTCATCAACTCTATGATTAACCTCATCCTTCATAAATCCATCCGCCGACACGTCAACTCCCAAGTACATGTATCTGAAAACATTCACTTCTTCCATACTCCTCCTCCCCAATTTGATATCCAATTTTTCTTTATCTAAATCATTTGATATCCTCATCACCTTACTCTTTTCTATGTTCACTTTCAACTTTCTACCTTTACATACATTCCCAAACTCATCCACTAACCTTTGCAATTTTTCTTTAGAATCTCCCATAAGCACAGTATCATCAGCAAAAAGTAACTGTGTCAATTCCCATTTTGAATTTGATTCCCCAAAATTTAATCCCACCCCTCTCCCGAACACCCTAGCATTTACTTCCTTTACAACCCCATCTATAAAATATATTAAACAACCATGGTGACATTACACATCCCTGTCTAAGACCTACTTTTACCGGGAAGTAGTCTCCCTCTCTTCTACACACCCTAACCTGAGCCTCACTATCCTCATAAAAACTCTTTACAGCATTTAATAACTTACCACCTATTCCATATACTTGCAACATCTGCCACATTGCTCCTCTATCCACTCTATCATATGCCTTTTCTAAATCCATAAATGGCCCCTCAAGGAAGGTTCCTTGATGTTGGTGAGGGGCTCTTGATTTAGGGAATTGGATCTGTGCTCCAGTTCCCCGAATTAAGCCTGAATGCCTTCCACATCCCCCCCCCCCCCGGCGCTGTAAAATCCCTCCGGGTTTAGCGCTTCCCCTTGATTATAATAATAATAATAATAATAAATCCATAAATGCAATAAAAACTTCCCTACCTTTATCTAAATACTGTTCACATATATGCTTCAATGTAAACACTTGATCTACACATCCCCTACCCACTCTGAAACCTCCTTGCTCATCCGCAATCCTACATTCTGTCTTACCTCTAATTCTTTCAATTATAACCCTACCGTACACTTTTCCTGGCTGGAATATTGCTGCACTCTAACAGCACCTTTCAAGGCAGGTGAAATTGCCGACCTAGAAAATGTACAGAGAACTTTCACGGCGCGCATAACGGAGATAAAACACTCATTACTGGGAACGCTTGAGGTTTCTAAACCTGTATTCCCTGGAACGCAGGAGGGAGAGATACATGATTATATACACCTGGAAAATCCTAGAGGGACTAGTAACCGAACTTGCACACGAAAATCACTCACTACGAAAGCAAAAGACTTGGCAGACGATGCACCATCCCCCCAATGAAAAGCAGGGGTGTCACTAGCACGTTAAGAGACCATACAATAAGTGTCAGGGGCCCGAGACTGTTCAACTGCCTCCCAGCACACATAAGGGGGATTACCAACAGACCCCTGGCAGTCTTCAAGCTGGCACTGGACAAGCACCTAAAGTCAGTTCCTGATCAGCCGGGCTGTGGCTCGTACGTTGGTTTGCGTGCAGCCAGCAGCAACAGCCTGGTTGATCAGGCGCTGATCCACCAGGAGGCCTGGTCACAGACCGGGCCGCGGGGGCATTGACCCCCGAAACTCTCTCCAGGTAAACTCCAGGTACTCAGTAAACTTATTCCTCTATAATTTTTACAGTCTCTTTTGTCCCCTTTCCCTTTATATAAAGGGACTATACATGCTCTCCGCCAGTCCCTAGGTACCTTCCCCTCTTTCATACATTTATTAAACAAAAGTACCAACTACTCCAACACTATATCCCCCCCTGCTTTTAACATTTCTGTCATGATCCCATCAGTTCCAGCTGCTTTACCCCCTATCATTCTACGTAATGCCTCAGTACCTCCCCCACACTTACATTCTGCTCTTTTTCTTCACTCCTAAAAAATGGTATACCTCCCTGACCGTGCATGAATTACTGCCTCTGTTTCTTCCTTAACATTTAAAAGTTCCTCAAATATTCTCGCCATCTACCCAATACTCCATCTCCCATCTAAATAATCCCTACTCTGTTTTTAACTGATAAAT